CTGCTTTTATTATATATTTTGTAACTTACGGTATAACTTACAATATTAAGTCCGTTTGAGTTATTTTGACAGTATAAGTGATGATTTTGTTCTCCCATCAAGTGTAATTACTTAATTACTTAACTATTACAATCTATTATAATAATATTTACATACGTACCCGATATCAAGAACTTTGGCACCTGGTGTAGATAAAATATTTTCGACAGGAGCAGAAAAATTATTTTGCCAGACATATCTCATTATGAAATGTTGTGAATGTAACCTATCTGTTTCATCATCATCATTTGGTAAATGGTATACAATATTTTCTGCGTTATGAAATCTTCTACCTTCAGCGTATCGAAAATCTGGTTGTGAACTTTGTGAATCTATAGAATTAACTTCTTTTGATTCGATTTCTTTTGATTTGACTTCTTTTGATTTGAATACTTTTAATTTAGAAAAAACACGTCCCATGCCAATATTATTTTAAAGCAAATTTTAAGTTTGTTTATTCGACTAATAAAGTATTAAAGAATGTAAAGAATGTAAAAATTTCTAAAACTTTAAAAAGAATAAAACAAAAAAAGGAATTTACGCACCCGTACTTACGTACGTAAATGTTTATTATTTATATAAAGCGTCAACTATTGATTATTATTAAATGCATTTAATACATAAACTTTTAGTATGGTGATCTGCTTTTCCTTTTGACAGAAGTATCGGACTTTTTTTGTGCATGGTTTACACAGTATCATTGAAATAATAAAATCAACAATTATTGTGTTTGTTACATTAAAGTATAAATATTTAGATAATGAGTAAAATGATATTAAATAAGATTTGTAACAAGTAACGATCTATGATTTGAATAATCTATCTAAGATATCACTGCTAAATAAATAGTCTATGCTTGTTAAATCAACACGAATTATAAAACCCTAAATGAGATATTAAGCACCAATAAATACAGCTAATATCTACGTATGAATCAATAAATAATTCTTATAAATTAGCACAAATTAAAGTAAACGTACCTAATTGAGATAGTTAATATTGTAGTATCATAGTTATGACGAAATTAACAATCCTTAATGTTTTCGAAATT